CACACACACACACACACACACACACACACACACACTCACTCACTCACACTCACTCACAGTACCCGCTCGCCTTATTCCCTTTCTTCCTCCTCCATTGCCTTCCCTCCATCCCCCCTCTCGCTTGTGTCTCTCGCCTCTCTTTTCCCGTCTTTCTCCACGTCTCTCTCTCCTCCGTTGGGATCCTCTTCGAGCTCCTGCTCTCCGTACTCGATGTGGCCCCTGCGGATTTGCTATGTCCCCTCCTCTCTTCCTTTGACTGTCGCTCTTTCTCTGTTAATTGCTCTCTCTCTCTCTCAATCACCTGCATATCCGCATCTATCCTATTCCTCTCGTGATTCAGGCCCTTTGTCATTGTCCTCCTGTCTCCTTTCCTTACCTGTTTCCCCCCTCCGGTCTGAGAGATCCTCTTCTTCCCCACCTTGTCCGCATTCCCCTACACGACCTGCATTGAGGCCTTGGCGTACTTTCCCCTGAAACTTCATCGGCTCCTGCATCCTCACCCTGATTGCCTGGCATTCCCACCATCTCCTGCTCTCGATCCCACATCCTGATCGCCCCCTCCCCCCCCAAATCGCACTGCCCATTCCCTTCTTCGCAAATCGGCGCCCCCACCTACATCCTCCTCCCGCTCGCTTACGTTAGAACCCCCCTCGACGTCTTCCTCCTCCACAGCCTCACCGGCAAACTGACCTTGCATGCTCTACCCAATTCCGCTGACTCTCCTTCTGCTTCCTCTGTCGTCGCATCCCATCCTGACCGGCTAATCACGACCTTCTCATCCTCCTGACACGCATCCTCATCCCCCCCCTTCGTCCTTCTCCTGCTACTCCAGCCTCTCAAGATTTCGATGGCGACCTTCTCCTACCTGCCTGACCAAGCACTTGACCTCCCCCTAGTGTTCCTTCCCCCCCCGCCTCTCTGCATTCCCCGGATGATCTCCGCCTACGCCTTCAGATCGCAGCCGTGCAAAAATCCTGTCCCACTTGCAGCATGGCACCCCACAAATGACGGACTTGTAGCCATAAACTTGGATGGAGGGAGGAGAGGAGAGGAGGGCTGTGGGTATGTAGGGAGAGAGAGATAGACAGGGTGCACTTCGATCAGGCCGGGCGAAACCACCTATTTCGTTTTTGGGCCCAACGTGATCGGAACTCTCCGCCTCTTCACGCACGACGCCGCTAAGAGAGGGAGGGAGGGAGGGACGGACTGACGGACGGACGGAGTGACAGAGGGAAGGGAGGGAGAGAGGGAGAGAGGGAGAGAGGTGCACTTGACAACGCCGTGCGGACTCACCTATGTCATTTTTGGGCCGAGTGTGAATGGAACTCTCCACATCTTCGGACGCAACACAGCGGGCACAAGACGGGATGGGTCGGGGAGGGGGGGAGAGAGAGAGCGAGAGAGAGAGAGAGAGAGAGAGAGAGAGAGAGAGAGTGCCGTTCCGCACTCCGTTTCCGCGCACCTCGACTCTGCTCCGCCTGCCTATTCTTTTACGAGGAGCGCGACAGCACGGAAAATCTCAAGCTTTCCCAGCACGGAAAATCCCGTATCCCTTGCCGGGCAGTGCGAGATCGCGGGAAATCTCAAACTTTCCCACTCAGTAGCCGATTTGCGTAGCTGAAGTCCCAATTTTTTGGCGGCATTTGGTACCGCGGATTTGAGACTCGAGTACCCAAAGAAAGTCTCAATTTTTTGGCGGCATTTGGTACCTCGGATTTGAGACTTCGAGTACCGAAAGAAAGTCTCAATTTWTTGGCGGCATTTGGTACCYCGGATTTGAGACTTCSAGTACCSAAAGAAAGTCTCAATTTWTTGGCGGCATTTGGTACCYCGGATTTGAGACTTCSAGTACCGAAAGAAAGTCTCAATTTWTTGGCGGCATTTGGTACCCCGGATTTGAGACTTCGAGTACCSAAAGAAAGTCTCAATTTATTGGCGGCATTTGGTACCGCGGATTTGAGACTTCGAGTACCAAAAGAAACTCTCAATTTTTTGGCGGCATTTGGTACCGCGGACTTGAGCCTTCGAGTACCAAAAAAAAATGAGAGGCATTCAAAGCGGGGGGCAATCGTAGCGCTGCGTTAGCGCTTGCGTTCGCGCCTGTGGTACGGTAACGCCGTACACCTGTGCGGTAGCTTAGCGGTAACGTCGTACGCCTGTGCGGTAGCCTTCTCCCGCCAGTGGAGATAAGCCTGTAATGCATCTTCTCCTTCGGTTTTTTTTTTTTTTTTTTTTTCAAACACGCTCCCTGCAGTGCTAGTGGCGCTGATGAACCAGACACCACTAGCACCCGAGGAGGGGCTCCATCTATTGGTGGGGAGCATCACCTGCTGGAAAACGGGTCCAGCATCCCATATACAGAGTGAATACCAAAAACTGAGAAAAGAAGTCTGCCAGCATTGACTGCTTTGCTCTGCAGAGGATTAACTGTGCAGGTTATTGAGAGGAAATTGAACACCTGTTCCTCCTTCCCCCTTTTTTCGCCCGATCTTTTTTTGGATGTTGTGACTGCCATGTATGAGAGGAGCACTGCCTACTTCTGGCCCACTCACACCACTCCGTACCATTGCATATCCACCATGGTCAACCGATGGGGAGAGAAGGGATCGGGAGGGGGGCGGCAGCCCCGAAGATAACTAAGGTACTGAGGAAGGCAGTCATGCGACAATCAAGAGAGACTATCATATCTGCTTCAGAGATTGGACAACGATGGATCCGAGGATCCCGTTGTGGCCGCCCTCCTTCGCTTTTTTTCACCACTGCAACGAGGATTTCACGTGACAAGATGATGGGGACACCTATAGCTAGTTAGTAATGAAGTAATGATCAAGTGGACTTGTAGCCGGAACAAGGGAGTACATAGAAGAGATGGTTACGGTTTGGTATGTGATGGATATGGCGAAGGAATATTACAAGGCGGACTTTTTACGCGAGCTTAGGATTATCCAAGATCATCTCCACCAGGTTCTTCTCCACATCGGGGGGCTGCATTACCTTTCTGTTGACTACGAACAAGTGTAGGCGGCAAGGGTAATACCAGGTGGTGATTCAGTAACACGTCCAAGGTGGTAATTTTTTTCTTTTTCGTGGTGATTCGGTAACAAGTTTGGCGGCAATCTGGGTCGTGAGAGTTACTGTCGTGATTCAGTAACAAGTCCAAGATGGTAACTTTTTTTTTTTTTTTTTTTAACAACCAGTTCAATTACCTGTAGAATCTGGGCAGGACAACCTTTCAGGTTTTTTTAATTGTCATTATAGTTTTGCGGGGAACCCCGTACCAGCCACATTTGTGCTCAAGCTTCCAATTAGGGAATATGCCGGCGTTGCACCCACCAGCAGGTGTGATACCTGCTACAGCATGTGGGCGATACCAATCAGGGGTCAGCAGGTAACATCAGGAGCGAGCTTCTTGGATGGCCCAGTCATTGTGTCTCCCCTTCGGTCCCCTCTCCCTATAAACATCAACAGTCTCTATTCAATGCCACTCAGCGGGGCCAACAACATATCTCTAGGTGTCGGACGCCAAGGGGTTGTAACTTTCAAGCAACGGTATTCGAGCTCTTCAGTTGTTGTCAAGTTCTCAAGCTCAGGCGTCATCAAAAACTCACAGGCAATAGTCGATGGACGCAACTCAACTCATCAACTTTACTATGCACTTCGACCAATAACTGTGGACTTACACTGTCTAGTTATGAACATTTGTAAGGTTTTTTTTTTTTTTTTTTTTTTTTTTCATTCTTCGTAAGTCTTATTCGTATCTCGGCAACTTAATACAGTGCCTCCAATTAGAGTCTTGAACTATCAAGTCTGGCTCGACTTAGTGAGCGGCGATTGCAAGATCTAAAGTTTTGTCATTTTCGAAACTCCTACGACTAGCGAAGTTCTTCAAGCTTCATCAACAGTAATGTTATATATTTGTAAACTTTGTTGGATTCACAGACATATGTTCAGTCTTTTCACAAATTTTGCCTCCGTGCCCGTTTGGCCACTCAACGCTATTTTACACGAACTTTTGAGAATGAACATCTGTCCGACAACATTGTAGAGGGTCCGCAAACTGAAGTTGTCATGGATTAACCAACTCACTCAAGGGCTCGATCGCCTCCACCCGGAACGTCAGAGTTGGATGAAGGGAGGATTGGGGAAGTCATTACAAAATATTACGAAGAAGGAAACATCCCAGAGGATGTTCCTTGTGATTGAGTAGAGATTTAAGGACGTGAGGCCATTTTTAGGATGAACCCTGAGTTTTATCAAATCATGGTTAGATGGATGAAGAAAATGACTGCAGTTGTCGTACTCGAAAAGACAGCAGAAGATCTACCAAAGAAGGTGAAAAACCAATTTTATTAGAGCATACGAGAACGGCTTGTCCGAAAACATAGTATTCGACTCACTAACACAAAGAGGCATTATTAGATTTTAGGGTCTAAATATACTAGCTTATGTGGCTAGAGATAGGACAGTGGCAAACTGGCTCATTGAACAGAGAGAATAAGTTATGCTTTATGGCAACTCCTACTCCATGAGCTTTAGACCCTGGATGAAAAAACTCGAATGGACAAAGTTCAAACGAGTAAAAATGATGAGCACATTTTAGGTCATAACTCCTTAGGTCCTTTTGGATGTCATCGTCTACAAACTTTATACAAAAGCGGCGATAAGAAGGATAGTAGGATCGATTACTGAAAATTACTCTCATAGGAGAGATCATTGTACTATTTAGTTGATGAATCTCAAGTTTGACGTTGATCCCTCGTTTCAAGAGAGAATGGTAAACAAGATATGGGTGATGACAGATAATAGAGATATGAGAGAACTGAAGTAGGTGTGCTCATCCACACCGTGGTGTTGTAACTGCAGTTTTTTTTTCCCATTAGGAAGATGAATGCAAAGTTGGTAATAAAGTGTTTCATGGCAGACCGTTAAACAACCAATAGAACGTAGTTAATGTAGGAGAGATTAATTTTAATGCGAGTGGCAGTCAAGTAAAAAATGCTACACCGCAATAACGATCTGCAAGTCGACAGGGAAAAAGCAATAGCTACTATCAAGGTCAGTTTGCACCAAAAAGATTTGCGCAGTCAAAGCAGATGGCAGATGTAATCGGAAGAGGCGATTTTAAGATCGAGCATCATCAGATCTCAGATTACCAGTTAAACCAAGACATACGTCCCAACCCGCGCTTCTCACGAGCACCGAGATATCCGTCGAATCAGATAGGAGGAGCGATGAACGAGGTAGAATTCGTCGACAAATGAAACAATATTAACATAGTTGATAGGTACGACCAAGGTATGACAAACTCGTCAAATATTAACCTATTTCCAATAACCTTTTCCTCAGCAGGGCATGTGAACACTGAAGGCAGGGTAATATGCACCCCCCCAGTTGGTAGACCCAATGATAACGAGTTTGTGGTTTTCGAAGGTGACTTAAGTGGAAGACAAAACCCGCAGGCGAGACCATCTTTCATGGGCCAATGCAATTCGAGAGGTAGGTCTCCCCTTAAAGTCATGAGGAAAGATGGTCCTTCTCAACATGGCGAAAGCTCGGGTGCTGAAGCAGATGTTGCTACATGCCTAGTGGCGGGAAGTCCCAAGCATCAATGGTAAGTTTAGAGAGGTCTCGAGGTATCAACAAGCATCCAGTCTCTTTTCTTATTCTCCGAATTGGAGAAAAGATGTTGAGGGATCACATAACATTTACCATTGGTAGGCAACCAACTCAAGGGCTGGAAAAA